TGATGAAAGGAAATGCGGATAGGTCTCTTGTGATACAGTAGTGAATAATTGCTTCAGGATTGATTGTGAGGGTTGGAAATGTAAAGGTAGACATTTTGTAGCAAAACGGGGAGTGATTAACTTTTCAGTCTAGGAGCGAAGGTCCCTGGGACCATCAAGGGAGAAGAGCAGAGAGCGCGACCCTACCCAGAGATACAGTGATGCCTGAGTTGGAGAGATGGAGCAGCTGGGGACTTTAGACACAGAGAGGGAGAGGGGCTGTGTGCTGACAACCCGGGGGCAGGCTTGTAGGATATACCATTTGGTTGGTTGATGATGCATGGAGGGGATTGTAACCATGGCAATTAAACGATATATGATAGGATGAATGTAAAACTAATGTAAACTATCACATAATTCACAATAAAACATTTTAAAAAAACAGAAAACTCAATGGTCTTCTTGTGAAAATGGGTGTATTTTTGTGGTATGTAAATTATACTTCATGACATAAGTGGTTTTAAAAGAAGAAAAATAGGAATATTCATGTTGAAGAGAGCTCTAAGCTGCACTTTGCAATAGCTATTCCAAAGAACTTTACTGGATTCATTTGTATCTCCATATACTAGCCCACCTAAGAGCAACAGCGTATGTGCTGATATTTTATTAGGTGCCCTCAAGTTGGTTCTGTCTCATAGAGACCCTATACACAACAGGACAAAACACTACCTGGTCCTTCTTCATCCTCACAACTGTGATTAGGTGTGAGCCCATTCTTTCTGCCCACTGTGTCACTCGATTTTGTAGGGGTCTTCCTCTTTTTCATTGATGCTCCACTTTGCCAAGGCATGATGTCCTTCTCCAGGGACTGATTCCTCCTGATCATATGTCCAAAGTCTCACCATCCTCATTCCTAAGGAACATTCTGACTGTACTTCTTCCAAGACAAATTTGTTTGTTCTTCTAACAGTCTATGGAACTTTCAACATTCTTCTCCAATACCATATTTAAATGCACTGATTCTTCTACAGTCTTCCTTATTCATTATCCAACTTTCACATGCAAATGAGGCCATTGAAAACACCTTGACTAGGGTGAGCTTCTTCTTCAAACTGACATCTTTGCTCTTAGCAGCAAATTTGCCTAATGCAATCAATCATGATTTGATTTTTTTTTTTGACTGCTGCTTCTGTGACTATTTATGGTGGATCCAAGCAAAATGAAGTCTTTAACAACTTCAATCTTTTCTCCATTTACCATGATGTTATTTATTGATCCAGTGGTGAGATTTTTTGTTTTCTTTACATTGAGAAGAAATCCATAATGAAGGCTGTAGTCTTTGATCTGCATGAGTAAGTGTTTTAAGTCCTCTTCACTTCCAGCAAGCAAGTTTGTATCCTCTGAACATCACAGATTCTTGAAGTGTTTTCTTCCCATCCTGATGCCAAATTCTTCATCATAAAAACCAGCTTCTTGGATTATTTGTTCAGCATACAAACTGAATAAGTATAGTGAAAGAATAAAACCCTCTAAGACAGCCTTCCTGATTTTGAACTATTCAGTATCCTCTTGAATGAATGATTGCCTCTTAGTTTATATACAGGTTCCTCATGAGCACAACTATGAGTTCTGGAATGACTATTATTTATAGCATTATCCACAGTTCATAATGATCCACACAGTTGAATGTCTTTGCATAGACAATAAAGCACAAGTAAACATTTTTCTGGGATTCTCTGCTTTTGGCTGAGATTCATCTGACATCAGCAGTGATATCCCCAGTTTTACATCCTCCTTGACTGCTGCTTCTGTGAACGTTGATAGTTGATCCAAGAAGAATGAAGTCCTTGACAACTTCATTCTTTTCTCCATTGATAAGAATGTTGTTTATTGGTGCAGTGGTGAGGATTTTTGTTTTCTTGACATTGAGATGCAATCCATACCGAAGGCTGTGTTCTTTGATCTTCATCAGTAAATGTTTCAAGTCCTCTTCACTTTCAGCAAGCAAGGTTGTATCATCTGCATATTGCAGGTTGTT